GTCGCTGAATGAAGGGCGGAGAAAAAGTACCAGGATAATTTCGCATGACGACCACGCTTTTAATTTTATTTATTTGATTAAGATGAAGGATTACATTGTCAAAACAACGAGGTCTCTGCGAGTTGAGTGAGTTCGGGCCATAGACAATTTTGTCTATATGATGACGTCATCAAAATGTCGTCCTGGCACAATTCTTGAGAACTCATACCCGCCCCAAAATTTTGTCCCAGTTTTTTCGTATACGGCTGTTTGGTCCCTTGAGTCCCAGTTCCACTGAAAGAGGACAGACGGCGCTTCTATTCAAGGCAATCAGAAATGGCGTCGGTTGGAATGTGCCGAAGAAATGTGCATTCGAAGTCGAACTGTGGCACCTAAATTGAGCTCGGAAAGGCTGACATGCTACGAAGCAAAAGGAAATTTGAGGTAGGTAAGATTTTTTTTAGCCAAAAAAAAAAAATACTGTGGTATTCTCTGATGACTGGGCTTCAAACACATTGAAGCAGAATTCAAGTACACGGCGGTTTTGTTCAAGTGCACGCCGGTTGAAGTGTGACTCGTAGTATTGCCCTTTACCGCCGTTGCTTGTTAAAGAATACTAGTGTCTGCTATTCTAAAGGTTCTATTTCGCTGTTCTTTTCAGTTGGTGGATAGTAGTGTTAAATTCGCATGGGCGTACGGGGGGGCGAGGGGGGCTGCAGCCCCCCCAAATTTTGGGGAACTCAGATTTTTTGGGCAGCAAGAGAAAATTTGGGCAAGGCCTGTTTTTAAAGACGTCTCCATGTTTATTTAATTATTTTGGAGACCTGAATATTAACCTGAGGTCGGCGTAATAATCCAGTTAAATTCACACGAGACAGTAATCGCCTAACATGTGATGAGTAATTTACATATTTATTTTTTTTGTTATTGTTGGGCATCATACTGCACTGTGCTAGCTGGAATAGGCTATCCAGTTGTGAATTGATTAGAATAAACTTTCGCATAACTTTCTAGAATCATCTCCACTCGAAGAACAGGGTGGGTCTGAAAACGAAGGTGTGGCTGACTAATTCTCAGTTTGAATTACGAGAAGAATCTTTTAATTCTTTTAAAAAATCTATCGAGTGGTTTTTAAAATTTTGCTGAAGTAAAATAGGTAGTGGCGTGATTTCGATGCTATGACAACTATGATGTCATTGCAACCCTGATCATGACAAATTTTCGTTCACTGTGGTGGCAGTTTTTCCTAATAAAAGGTTAAAAGGTTAAAGGCATGTTTATAGTGGAAGGTGCACTAGTTTAGCTTTTCCAGCTAATTTACAGGCACTCCACTCAAATATTAGAAACAAATAATTCAAATACAACATAACAAGGTTAAAAACCCCAACTGGCAGAAGGCAACCAGTTGGTTATTAACAAGCGTGGCCGAGAATTTGAACTCGGGACGACCGAGCACAAATCCAGCAAGTGGCCAATGCTGGACTCGAACCCGGGACCGCCGGATTGCGAGTCCAACGTGCTGACCACTCGGCCATGCTGCCTCCCTCCCTAATGTTTGTTTATGGCGACGTAGTTTGTGCTCAAACCTGGAAAACTGTATCGAGCCAACTTCATACGCCAGTAGTAGCCTATGTTGTTGCAATATGGCCCTCGTTTCTTTTCGAATCTTTTGTAAAAACTTGGGACACTTGCGAGAATTTTTTGGGCAAATGGTTTACCGCCCCCCCTGGCAAAAAATTTCCCGTACGCTTATGTATATTCGTTTTACACCTTGGTCTTTCCTCTCTATACATGCAGAAGAAGAATTGCAGGTCGGCTGTTTAGAAAGAATGGCGTCGTTTGAATGTGGCAAAGAAAGCGTCTGTCCAAGTTATTGGTTGTACATGTATCTTGATGACATGCTGTGACACAAATGAAAATTGGAGGTTAGTTAAGATGCTTTTGTGACCAGGGTTACAGACATAACATTGCAATAAGGCTTTAGACTTATTTATTGTACAGTCATAATTATTTAGAATTAAGATACATACATAATCTTTCATACATGCATTTTCCTTTAAGTCACACTACCACTCCCTGCATCAAAATCACAAGAATTTTATTCCCTGTATTGATAAATTCCTTACAAAAGAAGTGCAGTAAGAAGCACTTTAAACTACTTTGTGGCTACAAGCCTGTTTTGTTATTTAAATAAAAACTCTAAAACCTGCCTCAGTCACACTCTTTTTAAAAAGAGAAAAATGCAGTGGTGTTCTCCAATACATTTGCATGAAAAA